GAACAACCTTAAGGAAAGGGATCTTTGTGTAATAGTTGATCAGTCTTTTAAGTCATCCAAGCAATGTGCTGTTGCTAGTGGCAGGGAAAATAGGATTTCTGGTTGTATCTACAGAAATATTAAATACAAGCATAAATAGGTTATAATTTCATTGTATAAGTCAGTGGTTAGGCCACATTTGGAGTGTTGTGTTAATTTTGGGGTTCCTTACCTTAGGAGGGCTACTAGAATGATACCTGAGATGGAAAATTTGTGATACGAGAACAGGTTAAGATCTCTCAAATTGTTGTCTTTTAAAAAATAGAAAAATTAGAATGAATGTGATTGAGGTGTTGATGCAGCATCGTTTTTCATACATAATGGTGAGAATGGAGACAGAAATATGTATTTTGGCAGGATAGGAGTCATCTTCAGCTAAGACAGTTTTATTTTTAGTAAAAGGCTGATTGGTCTTTAAAATAAGTTGCCTTCAGATGTAGTGGATTTATAAAGGAAGTTTAAGAGAAGGCTTGATAAATATTTAAATGATAATGCTGACTTTGAGTGTTTTATTTGTATTTTCAAGTTTAGTGAATGAGATGGTTAGATAGTCCAACAGGTTCCTTGTCCATAAATTTGCTACATATATGTACATCAAATACTTCAGTAGGCTTGCACCCTTGGTTTTAATTTATTTTTGTAGTAATAGAGCTGGACAGTAATTTGAATGTTTTAACTGATTAATTGTTGGGCTCATTAATTTATTACATTCAACTTATTGATAGTTTTTATGTGAAACTTGAATAGTTGGAATAATCAAAAATAGTCAAAGTTCTAACACTAATTTTCTTTTGTTAATTATTTTTGTGAATTGTGACGCTGATCAATTAATGTGTACAACCATGAACTAATGAGAAATCATGGTGAAGATATATCAATTACCTAAATAGTTGGAATAATCAAAAACAGTAATATTCAACAACAATAATAATTTTTATTGATTATTTTTTGTCATTAATCAATTTAATCCTAATTTCAGTTACTCTACTTGACATTAATCAGCAGTAATTAATACTCATATGTAATTGAGTTAATTGCCCAGCTCTATCTAAGAATCATGTATTCAAAGTGTTCTATTAATACTGATGTATTTAAATTGTTGTATTTCTGTTACATATATAAATAATATATATATACACACACACTAAATTATCATATTTACATGAATGTGATACAATTTCTACTGAATTTTATTTTTGAATACTAGTGCCAAAATTTAGTTGACAAAATCCTTCCTTCTTCAATGTATTTTGTCATACTCTTCATTAATATACAGTTTTCACTTTGTGTTACCAAGAGGTAAGAAATACCATGGATTTAATTTCTGTATCTTAAAGAAGCCATGGGCACAATCCTATTGAAGTGATTAAACAACTAAGAATTTATTCAATGGCCCCCAAATCAATTTGAAATTCTCACAAAAAAGAAAAAAAGTTAGGCCTAAAAGTTAACTGGCTGGGCTTGCATTTATAGAAATTGTGATTTTGTAATAACATTGTTTAGTATTTATTTACATTATAACAAAAAAAAAAAATGTCACACTCACGTCAATAAATATAAAATGGATACATCCTTGTCACAAGAAAGTAATAAACTGATTTATGTTTTCCATTACTTATTTTTGCCTATTAATTGTATACCAATATTTAATTATTTACTTTTATTAAATTTACAGTCAGTTATGGATAATTCCCAAAATACATACAAATCTCCATATTATTTTTCATTTGCTCATTTTTTTTTTAAGATCTAGCTTGATAGACATTTATATTAAAGATGTTAAGTGTTAATGTTTACCCTGTCTACTGTGTTAGGCCCATGTCCTGAATTTGTTCCAGAGCGAGCCCTTTTGGTTTGGTCCCCTTGTCCAGAAATACCTGATAACAAATGTAAGTTGTTTAATTTTTTTAATATATTTTTTCTTAAAGAATGAAAAGTGGAATTCAAATCAGGAGTTTAGGATATCACATCATTTTATTTTTTGTTTATACAGGGGCAAAATTAAACTTGCTTATACAGATGTTTGGTCTCTAGTAACTATATTCTCTTTTTGTTAGGTAATTGTTCTATGATTCAGTTTTGTGGTTATAGAATATAGACCCATGGAATTGCTAATTTTATGTGTAAAATATAATCTATTAAAACTACTAGAATTATTAGTTTTAAGGTAAACATAGGATTCATTTAATGTCATCTAGATACATAAATATGCTCAACAACAGGTTCACTAAACAATTGAAACTAGCATAAAAAATACAAACTCATAAACTGTATTGTTAATAATTTATGAATTTTTTGAAATGAGATTTAATTATGTTGGGCATTAATAAATTTTTTGTTAGTTGTATGTAGTTTTAATTATAAAAATCCTTGGTATATCTATTCAACAGATCTATTGTATAGTTTGCTTTATTGCTTTTTTTTGGGGGGGGACTACTGGATGAAATAGTTGGAATTTTGAGATTAACTTTTTTTTTACATTTTATGTTGCTTCTGCAAAGTAAATATTTTATTTTTTATGTGATATTTACATGGACTTTCAGCTTTGAAAATTCAAAAAGCTTTCCTTGTGATGTTTTTTAAAGAAACAATTAAAATGCTTACCTTTGTTGTAGGTTTCAGTTACTGTTTTTGTGTCTTCCTACGTATTCTTGTAAAAACTTTCCTATAAAGTTTTTATGTTACAAAACCTCTAATTTTATCTCTGTTTTTATTTGAAAAAACATCACACATAGTTTAACTATGTTTAAGAACACTGGCATCTAATGACAATAACTTCTTTTGTTTTTTAGCTTCTTAGTCAGAAGGTTTTGTTTAAACCTTTTTTATATTATTTTCTTTCTTAAATTTATTTTTGTTCATTTTCATCAAACAGAAAACTTGTCTGCAAAATGCACCTCACTAAATCTACCTCATTTTTGTTCCATTAAAAACATTTATTTTCATATCATACTGCAACATTCAGATTAAGTACGAAATAATAAAGGAAGCTTAAAAAAATGAAGACTGTAATCGTGATAGACATTGTTCACAAACATTTTTTCTACTACAGCATATCACTAAGCTAAGCTTTTATCACTCTGTTCCAATCTCTATACGAACCTCCTGAACTGGAAGCCATATTGGCTTATACAGTTGGCAAGAATAGAAAATGAGCTTTTATTACATGTTTAGATCACTAGCCTATGATTTCTCAAAGCTGCTTTACACCATGACAGCCAATGGTGAGAAACAGTGATAGATTAAAATCAATAAAACTACATTTATATTAAAGTTCCAAGGTTCAAATTAGTGCTGTTTTGTTCAAAATTATTCTGACTTTCCCTCTATAAGGCTATGAGTGTTATTTTATGCTCAGAACATTTTTTTAAAGAAATTCACATATAATAAAGTTTTTGTTCAGAGCAAGCTGAAATAAACCCAAAATCAAAATGTGCAATTTATTTAAATTTCTGTGTATAATATTATTTAAGTAAAATTTTTTTATTAAATAAATGGCTACTTTGAAGTTATTTTTAACTCTTTGTTTGTGGCTTGTGTAAAGCTGCCTATCACCCCATGCACGAAGATTTGCAATTTTTTGCGGCGGGCTATTCAAAATGTTGTGCACAAAATGATTGCATCATATGATGTCAACCATATTTGAAGGGTTAATGTGTGAAAGAATGAATACAGGTTTATTTTCTATAATCTTTTTATTCAGTGAAGTTATGGAACTTGAGTAGTCTGAAATTAGGATCTAAGTAAAATTAAACTTTAGTAAATATTTGTATTGTATTATGCAAGCAGATGTATAATACTTGATCTTGTCTTACTTTTCCAAATAATCAACAAGTTTTCTTTTTGGATAAGTATATGATTAACCTGTCAATTCTAAAATACAGTAAAGTTGAACCTAACAGTATGTAAAACTAAGATCTCTCTTTAAATTATGTGTACAGACATATTACCTTGTATTAAATGATACATGCTCTTCAAAAAGAAAACTTTTTTTTTAGATACATTTGTGTGCATTTTATAAGGATGTTTTGATTTCAGATTTCTAGTTCATACTTTTATTATTTGAGCTAGTAAACGAAAAACAACTTCCTGAAGGAATATTATATTACTGTGAAAGAATGATAAAAATGGTACTTGTGGCAGTTAAGAAAAAAAATCATTATTCATTATATAGTTAAATTTTCTGACTGGTGAACTGTGTAAATATTTCCAGGTTTAAAAAAATTAAAATAAATTATTTTTCATTTTTAGTGGATGAGTATATTATATTGGCAAAAGAAAAGTATGGATACAATGCAGAACAAGTAAGTATTTTTATGCTAAGTAACTGATAATAGCTATATGATTGTTAACCCTATATGTATGGCTGGGTCAAAGTATGCATGTCACAACTTTTTACAGAGTTAAATTTAAAAATTAATTAAACAAATTTATTATTATTGTAAGTCAATAAACCTGGCATCACGACATGCTTTATAATTCAAGTTTTTATATTATCTAAGTTTTCATTTCTTAATTTCAAAAGGAAATGTTTAAAAATTTTCAGTCATCTGGGCCGTGTGATACTTCTTCAGTCCAAATTCTCCACTTCAGATATTTTAACTTTGATAATAGGCTTCAACACTTTACAAACAATTAGGAACACAAGCTATACATAAAAACAAACAAGAATATTAAATCCGAACCTCCTAACTTCTTGATTTACTGAGATATCAATAATTTTGTCAAACCAATCAGAGAATCCCTTCCCATCTTTCTGTCTTTTAAGATAGTTATCTAATCAGATTTACATGTTAGATAGACATGTTTATAACCAATGAAAAGTACAGGTTATCCTCTACATAATTCTTTACAAGTTGTCCATTACTTTCCACCATTGAGTGATAGTCAGTGGAAATGATTCATTATGGTGATCATATTCTAGTAATTTGAGCTTTATGAATTTTTTAACCTATTTATAGCTTACTTAGAAAGCCAAATAAATTTTAGTAGTTTTGGGACATTTCATTCTCGTGACTAATATATATTTTTTGTGTTCTAAAATGCATATCTGAAAGCTATATGTTTTTTTTTTACAACCAATTTAGTGAGCAAAAACTGAGACTTAGGTATTTATGTCTGCAAGTGTAGAGATCATGTGTGCTGAACATTTTGTTTACAAGAAACAGCTAATGGGTTGTCACTGTGATTTATTACTTCTGTTGGTACACAGTCTGAAAATAAAAGCATAAATTTAAAATAAAACAGTTGTTCAAAGGTTAACAGTTGAAACTGTGAAGATAAGTAATTTGAAAATTTTAAAACAATTATGTATTAAAAAAATATATTATTTGTTTTATCTTATATTTTTCAACATTTCACAGTACATTGAAAATTTTACCACAGTTAGTTAAGTAGAGAAATTAAGAGATAAGATATAAAGTTTTAGTAAAAGAAAATTTTTGACATTCATGGCTTTCTAACTGTGCGGCAAGAGCCATTACAAATTCATCCAAGCTAGTCGTTAACATTCCCACAGGAACGAATCTTGTACTGTGAGTGAAATTGACTTCTAACTGTTCAGAATATAACAGGTGGGTGTGGCAGGAGGGGTCTGATTTTCTATTCACTAGGTCTTTAACCAAACAAAATTGGAGGCTAAAAAAAATTATAGTTTGTTTGAGCAAAATGTAGTTTAATAAAATTTTAAATGCAAGACACTAAAACCTTGTGTCATGTGCAGTAAAGGGTACCCGGGGCAATAAGGTTAAATAAGGAAACTGTAATATTTTTATTTCATAATATTAAAATGTAGTTTTAAAACATGCAACATTTTAAAATCAAATTGTTTTTTAATTCATTAAGCTAACTTTTTGTTTTAGGCTCTTGGTATGCTTTACTGGCATAAATATGACTTAGAAAAAGCCCTGGCTGATCTTCCCAATTTTACCCCATTTCCTGATGAATGGACAGTTGAAGATAAGGTTCTTTTTGAGCAAGCATTCCAGTTTCATGGTAAAAGCTTTCACAAAATTCGTCAAATGGTAAGAAGAGAAAACTAACAAATGAAACTAAAACTGTATTATACAATTAAAACTTGTAAACTTTGATGCATGTGGAAAAGGACCGTGGAAGTGATTTCATCTTATGTCTTTCTTACTGTAAAATATGCAATGGAGAACATCTTTAATGTTATGTTTATTAAGGTGCATTAAATGATAATGATATTGCATTGCAGTATCCAATATTGCTCAAAATTCAACCTTAGGTAGTAATATTTAGATATTTGACATCATGAATAGTTTGATTTTGCATGTTTTAGGGTAACATTGGTATTAGGATAATTGTATTAATATTAACTTCTGTGTTCATTTAAAGAAAATAAGATTTCTTTTGTTTTCTAGAACTTTACAAATTATTATTGTTTTGCTCTATAGTATGTTCTTAATTCTTATAGCTAGAGTTTATTTTTATGTGAAATTAATATTGGGAGTAACATTTTCCTTTAATTTAAATTAAATTTTAAAAGTTTCCCATTTGAACAATGACAGATGCTTTTTTTAGGGAGCAGTCTGAAATAAGACAACCACAACAGACTTCCTATTTTATTCATGATTAACAGGGTCTCCTCTTTTTTTACCTATTTGGCAGTTTGAAATACAGATAGTTACAACAAATCTCCCACTTTATTAAGAATTAATAGATCCTCTTGACATACTGGTATTAGAGAGTTGACAGTCTCTAACTGCTATACAGGTTTAATCTTGAAATATTACTAAGTGCATATAATTGCATATGAGTTACTCAGTTGGTAGTAGTGTCTGTGGAAACGAATTAGTATTTTTTCAGATATGTAACATCACAGTAAAGAAGTGCTGTGTGAATCATTTTAAAGATGCACAACTGAATTTTTAGAGACTTTTACTTGTCAAAAGCTTCCATTATTGTTTCTGTATCAGTGGTAAACTTTTCTTTCACTGATTTCCAAAAGCAAGTGAAGTAGTTGATTTATTTGTATATAGCATGAACTATTTCAAGTTTGTAAGTACAGTTAGGCCTGCTTTCATAAGTTTCTGAAACTAGATATGCTGTTTGAATGAACTCATCAAATAGGTACAGTTTTTCTACCTGTACATTCATAGTTCAGCATATCTTAGGTAGTGCTGTGAGCAACTGTTGCTTATTTGCTTATAGAATAATGGGAATCAGCTATACAAAATACAATATATATACGTGGAAGAATAACATTTGCAAACTCTGACATAATGATGGTTAATAATATGTTAGTTTAAAGCCACAGGTTAGTAAAGTATTGTTCATTTGAGGCATTATGGGATATGTTTTGAAATGATTTCTTGCAGTTTTAGGCATCAAGTACTGAAGAATGTGGGTTGTTGAATAAGTTCTTAGTTGTTTAATCACTTCAGTAGGCTCGTGTTCCTGGCTTTAATGTAAAGTATAAGTAAGTGGTGTACAAGAAACAATCATTGCCGAGGGAAAATTATAATAAAAAGATGCATTTTAGTTGTTAGATCCAGCATAATATCGATACTGATGCTGAACTATCAGTTAGCTATATTGGAAGAGTAATAACTTTATACAAGTTACTGAGACAGCTAATCACAGTGGAAATTTAGCAATAAGCCAAAATAAGTGTAAACATTACTGCATCATTGCAAACATATGGGAATAAATTTAATAAAAATTTTAACATTTTAAAATAGTGGATAATAATATATTACATTGCATTTTTTTATACACGTGCTCTGGGGCCCGGGGTCTTCATGTTCGTATAGTTTATTTTAATGTGATTGTAGCATTAAAGCAGTTTATAAGTGTACTTTTGCTCATACATATAATAAGAAGTAACTCCTTTTGATGGTGAAATATGTAAAACCAAGTAAAGCCCATCCCATGATAGTATGTGTATATATGGATTTCTTTACATGGCATTACTAATCTTAGACATCATGAAAGGGAGAAGTTCTTCCTTAGACTGGCTAATGCATTTTATGTTAAGTGGAATTTGTTTGTTGTTAGGTGTGCTTAAGTATTAAACAGAGAAATTATGTATCAACTGACCCTCTGTAAGGAGTTTTTATGGGGTTGTTTAAGAAAATCATTTATATGACTATGCATTACACAGTAGGTTTCTTCAACAAGTTTTGGTTTTCAGTTTCAACTCTGTGCATTATCATTTTAACCTACTCTTACACTTTCAATGATTAAATATTAGCAGCTGTTTTGACTTTTTTCCTGTAACTAAGTAATGTAGTATTTATGAAATAATTTCAGAATTGTTTGTAATCATTTTTAGGTTACTAAATATTTTTGCTTTCAGTTGTCATGAACCTTTTTAATATATTGTATTGTTATATATGGTAGTTGCCAGACAAGTCTATATCAAGTTTAGTGAAATATTATTATTCTTGGAAGAAGACAAGAACCAGAACCAGTCTAATGGACCGACAGGCTCGAAAAATGTCAGGTCACCAGAATGAAAATAGGTAATGAAAAAGTATTCCAGTTCTATATGCAAGTTTACAAACCTTGTTAAATTAAACTTTTGTAAGATATTGAATGTAGCTAATGATGATTTGTTTTTCATAATGTGTAAAACATTCAAACCATCAGTAATTAATAATATAACTTGATACAACTCATTTGGAAATCATTGTTTATCAAAAACAATTTATTTATCAGTAGTGATGCAGGGTCAGAAGCAGTCTCTGAAAATGACAGTGATATGGAGACAGAAAATGGAGAAGGGGTAAATAGTGGCATTTGTTACAAAATATTTTCCTTCTTTTTTTTTCTTTTTTTTTTTCTTAAAGAAATGTTTGTTTGGACCATAACAAAACAATCAGGAAAAGAAATAGAACATAAAAGTATGTCCTCATGGTTATTTTATTTGAAAGTGGTTTTTGAGAAACTTAAAAGTATAATAGTTTTGAGATTATTTGACTTTTGTTAATTACAATTTTGAGGTTATTGATTTTTTGATAATAACAACTCTCAATAGCAAAATTTTAAGATGGATTATATTTTTAAAAATGGCAAAAGCAAACTAAGTCCAAGGTAGACATTTTAGAGTGTATTGAACATGTTCACTGTGCAACCTTGATTATTAAAAGTGATAGTTATTTAAGACAAGAATCTTTCACTTTCCTACATATGATTGTTTATTTTATTAAACCTGGTATGATAAAATTAATTAATTTTACTTTACTGTATAACTGAATAATTAAAGTGGAATCTAAAAGTTATTACTTTTTCTTTCCCATAAAGTAGTTCCATGTTATTCAGTGTTCTTGCTAAACCAGAAAACATGGAACATATTGAATACACAGCAAGTAACAAAACCATTCTGTAATCAGTGTGTATGTTGCACTTTTGAGCACATTATCTAGGTGAATGATAGAAGCATTAAATAGGACTTTGTTGGGAATGTTTCATTATACAATTTTTATTTTCTAAAAATATTTTGTATGACTTTTGGGCAGTAAATTGATACAGAAAAAGTTAAACACAGAGATAATGAATTTGATACATAAACATTTTATTGAATATTTTGTACTTATATTGAAGGGAAAAGTGTAAAGCTGGATAAGTGGAAGTAAAGCAAGTTTTTGTACCATATTTGAAAAGTACACATGCAACCTTTTTTTCAGTTGACATTTGACAAATACACACACAACACATTTTTTGCAGTTGACATGTGAAAACTACTCATGCAACCATTTGACATATTTGAAAAGTACACACACAACACATTTTTTGCAGTTGACATGTGAGAACTACTCATGCAACCATTTGACATATTTGAAAAGTACACACACAACACATTTTTTGCAGTTGACATGTGAGAACTACTCATGCAACCATTTGACATATTTGAAAAGTACATATGCAACACAGTTGTTGCAGTTGACATATTTGAAAAGTACTCATGAAACACATTTTTTTGCGTTTGAAACAAGTGAGGTAGTATAAACTAATTTTTAACTCTCTCATGTAATACCCAATATTATTAGGATTTCCATATTTTGTGGAATTATCTTCTAGGTAGTAAATATCACTGTATTCCAAAAGGTTTTTTCCCATTTCATACAAAAGGACACACATGTGTAAGACAGCATTATTTCTTTCTTTCTTCAGAGAGATTTGCCAAGCCTCGGTGTTTTTTATAAAACTTGGTTGAATTGTTTTTTTATGTAATCAGCCCATTGTACATAGCTGAGAGGAAACAGATATGAATTACTACATTTGAATCAAGTTAGCTTTTCCTCTTCTTTCCCAGGACTTTAACATTTTGCAGTAGCTGTGTGGTTATTGTGTTTATTTTGCCCATTTTATGTTGTAATGGGTTTTCACCAGACATTTGTGTTTACTAAAAGTGAATCGGTGTTAGATTGTTCTTTTAGTGTTTTTACACTATCCTAAAAAATACATATATTCAACAGACATTACCTTCTTCTGTAGTGCTACTGTTGAGAATTAGATTTTTCTTTCTTGAAATTTTTAACTTGATAAAATTTGATTACACAATACTGTTTTAAGGGTAGCCAATCAGTTTGGCAACATATTTTTGTTTTTTGTTACTAAGATTCCTGAAGTGCTATTGTGCAAACAAGTTTTTGCTTATTTTTCTGCCCCCCGGTGGCACAGCAGTATATATCTGTGGACTTATATTAGAAACCGGGTTTCGATACCTGTTGTGGGCAAAGCACAGATTGCCCACTATGGGTGGCTTTATGCTTAACTACAAACAGACTTATTTGTTTGTTGTTTATATTTGGTTTTCTAGTAAATTAGTATTATAAATGCAACATTTAAATTTGATCTGATAGTTTTGTGACAATGTGAGACAGGAGCAATTTGGCATGTTCTAACCAGTTAGGTATTTACCTGATTATTGGAACTTAAGTTATGTTTAAAGTTTACCGTACTCATATTTTTACATGTAAAGAAGTTTTTACTTTTCTGTAACATATAGTGTTTTGCAATGCAATGTTTACTGGGCACACAGTTTTTCATTTCTGTAGTAATTACTGTCATGTTTTTACCATGTTACAAACTTCTCAGGAGTCACAAGTTAGGGATATGTACTAATTACTGTCATGTTTTTACCATGTTACAAACTTCTCAGGAGACACAAGTTAGGGATATGTCCAGTAGAAGTAGGCAAAATAGTTTTTTTTAACAATATCCATTTCCACTTGTCTTTTTTTTTATTCATATATTTACAATCTTTGTATGAAATAACATTTTAATAAAACACCACAGACTAAAGCACCGTGCTTTTGTGGAAAGACTAGGTGTTTTCTTGCAGGGTGAAATTTTGCTTAATTTGAAAAGTCAGAAATATTTTCGCACAGTTCTACCTATATGCAGTGCACAAATCCTAGGTCTCAAGCTAAACTTCCTATTTCTATAACTTACTTAGTTTGAGCAGTAGGAAATGATATCATACGCTTAGTATCATCCAGTTAGTGATGTGGTCATAAAGTATCATTGTATTTCCCTGTCGTTAATCAAGGTTAATGAGGGAAATGTTATGTGTTAGCCACATTAATCTAGGTTTGTAATTTGATGATTTTGTATTAAAGTTTTCTCCTCTTCCATTACTTTATGTATATAGCAAATTAATAGACTCATAACATTCTCAGAGGAAGTACAAGGACCCAAGTCTCTACAGATAAGTTTGTGTGAGTAATAGTGGCAAGAAAGGATCAGAGGATATAAAAAATACAAATCAAATGAAACAGTTCACATTTATGTAATTCATACATGCTCAATAGGTTTCTGACAACCTTAAATAATAGACAATCAGGTAGGTATTTCCAACTGCTAACCATAATTCAGTCATCTAAAATAACAGACAAGATCATTTAATTTGGGTGCTTTTCGTTTGAAGGAAATTTGGGCACCCTTTTGGCAAATATAAGCATTAAAGGACAACAAGGGCCTTTTGGTCCATCTTGGCCATCCCATCCACAAAATTAAACTAAATGCTAAAAAATTCAAAGATAGCTTTTATCATTCAAATATTTATAACTCTTTCCTTTAAATTAACTGCATTAACCCATTCCAAAAAGCTAACCACCCTGTTAGAAAAATAAAGCTGTCTTAGCTGAAGATGACTTTTACCTTGCCAAAATTAATATTTTTATCCTCTAGTCTTCATTTTCACAATTAAATACCATAAAAAATTATACATGAACACTATCAGTTAACTTAACAATCTTAAATACCTCAATAAGGTCCTCCCTAACTCTTCTTCTTTCAAGAGAAAAAAAAGTTAAAAGGTCTTCATTTGTCCTTGTATGACAACCTTTTCATACCAGATATCAGCCCAAAACTGAACACATAACTCAAAATGTAGCCAAACCACTGATCTATACAATGACATTATAACCTCTTTAGACTTGTAATCAATATTTTTGTAGTTATAACCTAAACTCTTGTTTGCTCTGCTTGGATGACTTAAGAGACTGATCAACCAGAGCATCAAGATTTTTTCTTCCATAATACTTTTAAGGTTAATTCTTGTCTAAATTATTATGCTCACAATTCAAATTGTGATATCCCACATGCATTACCTTGCATTCAGTATAATTAAAAAACAATCTGCCATTTATTCACATAACTCACCAAATAATCCAAATCCATGTGTAAACAGCAGTATTCTTTTCACAGCCAGCAAAACTCAAAACATTAATGTTATTAACAAGTTTAAATAATCTATTGACTGTTTCTTCATCAATGAAATTAAAAAGAGCAAAGGTCCTAACGCTGAGCCATGAGGTTCCCCATATGTGACATTTATCCAGTTTGACTGAACTGCATTTATAACAACCCTCTGCTTTCTTCCATCTAGCCAACTTATCCCCCACACCTACAGAGATACCTTTTTAACAAGCCTTTTATGTGGCACCTTGTCAAATGCATTCTGAGAATTCAAGTACACTAAATCCAGCCAGGGAAGTTTGCCACAAAATATTTAAATGAAATCTTAAGTTTTGAATTACTGATGTGCAAGTGACTTTTCTGTTTGTGTATTAAATTTAATGAAATTCTAACCTTGTGAAAAAAATCACCTGTATAAAGAACTTTGTTGTTTTACTGTATGTCCATTTGTTTTTCATTCTTGTTTGGTTTCAGAAAGAGGAAAGTTCCAAGACTTGCTCAAACTGTGGAGCATATTACTCCCAGTTATTTCCTACTTCAAAAGGAATTTTATGCAATGGCTGTTATCAGTATTGGCGGTAATTACCTTTATGTTCTTTGCTCTGTATTTATGAAATAGTGTTTATAGTCTGCTTGTTTTCTTCTTTTTCTGTATTAGTATAATTTAGGAGGTGAGCCACAATGAGAATTATGTTTATCAAAAAGAACAGGTTTAAACATATACAAAAAATTTAACATAAATAATAATATTTTTTTATCAGCGAAGTAGTGTATTCTCTTTCTTTTAATGACAGCTTTTACCCTTATCTCCTTAAGTCAAATGTAATATAGGTACATATTCTCATGCACCCCTTAGATTTAAAATAAATATTCACATAGAGCTATAGCATTTCTATAACTTAGTGCATATATAATTTATCATGGTGATGTATATAACTCTTGAGAATGATGTCTATATGGTTTCTGTGTACCCGAGGTTCGGTGATGGCACGTCACATTTTCATATGTGCTGTGTTTTCCTCCTTCTTTAGTAATACATTTACATCTGCAGATGGTCTAATGACATTTTATTGTTCATGTTATCTGTAGTCGAACCGGGATGATGCGCAGTGCTGGTGGGCCAATGAAGAAGCACGAGTCCACCTCGGCCCGTCACAACCCAATGAGAAGTAAGAGAAAACCTCCCCGAGGCATGTATCTCAGTCATGAAGATTTGATATCTATAGCAACAGGACCACCCAATCAGGCTGAAAATAGTCTGAGGTCATTAGATTTGGAAATTGTTTCTTTAAAGAGACAGGTAAGTAAATGTACCTGCTGACTAATGTTCATTATGGTTTTGAAAGGAGGCCTTAAAATGCTCATGCTTTATGCCTGTGTAATAGAGAACTTACTGTTTAATGTGTACTTTTACCTTATAATATCTCAAATATGACTGATAATCCGGTTTCATACTGTTATGGAAAAAAAAATAGGTACACTGAGTTGTGGGTCTCATTTTACTATGATTGTAAAACCATTACTTGCAGTATATCTCCTCTTTTGTTATAGAACAATAAGAAAAAAAAAGTATATTGGTTCATTTATTTCTGACTATTTTTTTCTCTGTGGTAGAGTTTAATGTGAAAGAGCTTTCAGAAAGGCTGAGAGATGTGTTTGATGTGGGGTATATAACAGTTAACCCTAAATCTAGAAATATATTACAGTCATGGTTTTCTCTGTATAATAGATACCATGTGGTGATTACTTTTGCCACATTTTAATATTATATTTCCTTGAGTTTTAATGTTTTATATTTGGTTTTCATATGCCAATATCATGTTTATCTTACTGTGAGTAAGTTAAAATACAGTCATCTTGCAGGTCCAGAATAATAAACAGATGGTTAGCCAGTTAAAACACAAAATCTCTGCTGGGATCAATGGGTTTTTGACTAATGAGGTAAGTGGAACTGTCTAATTAACATAACTTGTATTAAGAAAAATTTCTGTTTGAAAGTATTTTTTGTGTGTTGATCAATAAACACTTGCCAGTTTTTGAAGTTGTTTTGTCTTTTAGTAATTAATTAAGTTTGATAATGCTTGTTGTAGTTTAATTATTATATTTTATTTGTATTATATAATTTTTATATATATTGAGCTGAAAGATATGTTTGTATTAGGATAGGATATTGATAACAGATATAATTGTATAATTTTAATGCTTAGGATTTCTGTCCAATCAAAGTTTGTTCTCCTTGTAGGCTGGAAATCGAATAAATGCTCGATGGACACACGAGGAACTTTTATTGGCTGTTCAAGGTAGAGTGTCAGGAGAGTTTAAAATAGCTTAGAAAATTGATAGTCATGCAACAATACAAAGAATTATTATATTCAAATTTTATTGTAATTAGATAATAATATTGGTTAACATTTAAAATTAACTTTTCATATTTTTGTTAATTATGTGTATTTCCTAAAGGAGATCCCCATAAACATCTGTGTCATGGTTCAAAATACACTCCTTTGACCATTAGTGTTATTATGTTTTAATGCATTTTGCACTGTTCAAAATCTATTCTATTGTCTTGTCATAGGTGAGAATATTCTTTCTAATTTTGTCACATAACATCTCCTACAGAAAACTCTTTATATAAGTAAAATATATTTAAAGAATACTGCAAGTTATATCTGTGTATATTAAATGCTACATATTAAAGTAGGATCTCAAGTTCCATGAAAAAATGTACTATTACATAGTTCACACAGACCTGGACAACTACTTAAATTTTATGGGACACTTGAATTTTGCTTTAAAAATAAAAATGTTCTACATTTTAATTTTATTCCAATGGGTTTTACTTTTTTCAGTAAAAATTGATCTTTAACAAAGTTTCATAGCCAGGATTAGTTTACAGTGGTGCATGGTTACGAAATACACTGCTTCTGGTTTACTGTGGGCAGAATGCTCCTTAACTTTTGACAGAAAGAGCCCAAGTGATTATGAAGAGGTCCAAATGGCCACTTTACAGGTCCAGGGTAGCACCCTAGTTGGGAGGTAAAAAACTCCACCAAAAATTGTTTTAATCCATATTTAAGGGTAAAGAAAACCTCTCCTGACATATTTTAGTTTGAAATATCTTGAAATAATAAAAAATTAATCAAACCAAAAAAAAGTCAAGGATATTATCAAAACCTAAATGAAGCTTATAGAAAAGATTTATCAAGTTAGAAATTGTAATATGCCTGGGTTTCTCCAAAAGCTGCAGCCTGTTTATCATAGAAATTTCTAAATAAAATTACGCACTGCCTTCCTTAAAATTTTTCATTGCCATTAATTCTTCACTGTCATAAATTCCAAACATCTATCTGCTTGAGCTACACAATCACAAAATTAAAACTAAAGAATTACAATTTTCTACAAATAAACAACAGCAGTTGGAGATGTTTTCAGATTAAAAAGTCTTTCGTACTCTATATAAGTCTTTCATATACTGCATAATCTGATCTTTGCACCCTTTTATTTATTGGTGAGACAGGTTGAAAAGTTACTGAGAGACTTTGTGAACACAGAAAACATATTATTTATGATAATACTAATGAGCAAATCTCCTGACATTTTCCTGATGGCAAACATAATTTTCCACATCTCAGATTAGTTGTCTGCTAAAGTTGAATCTTTCTCATGTGAATGTGAGGAATAGTGCCTTAGTTATTTTCTTAGAATCCTTTTATTTAACATTTTACTGTGACCTAACTTTTACACCCACACCTTACATTCTCTTTTTTTATGTACCTGTTAAAAAGAAATTTACTGTATTTTCTTCCCCTTATTTCAACTTACCTTGTTGTACTTTTTTCATTCACGAACATTTTTTAATTAATTTATTGTGTATCATTTATCTGGATTTATAGCCTGAAAATAAAGCTACTGGTGCATCATAAAGGTTAGTTTTGTGTAATTTTCATTAATGTTTTAAAGCAAGATATGAGACAATTTCAATAAAAATATTCCTTGAATTAACAAGTCCTTGAAAAGAAATTGCCGGGTTTGTGTGAATCATGTATTAGATTTTAGATATTTTTAGAATATTTTCCACCACATGTTCTATTTTATCTGATATTTCTCTAGAGATACTTAAGAAAAAAAACAACAAGAGTTGTATATGCTTTTGTGCATTGATTAGTTTTATTTTTGGAATATTTGTACAAGGAGTTAGAAAGTATGGAAAAGATTTCAAGGCCATAGCTGAAGTTATAGGAAACAAGAATGAGATTCATGTACGCAACTTCTTTGTTAACTATCGTCGTAGATACAATCTAGATGCTGTGATTCAAGAATATGAAGCTGAACATGGAATCACTAGTGGTGATCAAGACAAAGATGAAAAGGTGTTTGATTTATTCTTGTGTATATTAACTATTTCATTTCTATGTGAGCCACGTTGGCGTATCTATTTAAAGTACCACCTGTAAAATGATTTATCTGATAAGTTTTAAAAAACTATTACACCATTCTAAAAACTAGTGACAATGAAGTTTTGTTTCTTTCTTTCCTTTCTGTACATTTTCAACTAAGTATTTCAGTAAACAACTACTTACTGAAACTTCATGTGAGCATAAGAATGGCTTATAATCATAAAGTCCAGACTGCTTTTCGTATTTTTTTTTTAATTTATATAAAGTGTTTTTGATCTACTTTAGAAGCCTGTCATACCTGTTAGAAGTAACAAAAAAAGGCAAGAAAAAATTTCTGTAAACTACACCTGATAAGGACGGTTTTTAAAGAAAGGCTGGCTGTGTCCTGTATACTTAAGATCATTAGATATGTACGTTATATATT